TCAAAACATATTACAAGACTACAGTAATCAAAAAGTGTGGAACTGGCATAAAAACAGACACACAGACCATGGTACAGACTACAGGGTCCAGAAATAACCCCTCAAATATATAGTAAAATGATTTTTGATGAGGATGCTAAGACCATTCAATGGGGAAAGAACAGTCTCTTCAATAAATGATGCTGGAAAACCTAGAAGTACATATGCAAAATAATAAAGCTGGGCCCTTACCTTGTTCCATACACAAAAATTAACTCAAAATAAATGAAAGACCTGAACATAAGACCTAACACTCTTCAACTCTCTAAACACTCTAAAACTCTTAGAAGAAAACATAGGAGAGGAAACCTTCATGACATTAGATTGCAATTATTTCCTGGATATAACACCTAAAGCACAGTCAACCAATGTAAAAATTCATAAGATAGACTACATTACAATTAAAAATTTCTATGAATCAAAAGACACAATCAACAGAGTGAAAAGGCAACTGACAGAACAGGATTTATTTGCAAATCATATATATGAGGGGTGAATATCCAGAATATACAAAGAACTCCTACAACTTAACATCAACAACAAAATCCCAAATAACCTGATTTTAAAATGGGCAAAGGAGTTGAAAAAATATTTCTCCAAGGAAGATATACAAATGACGAATAAACATGTGAAAAAATACTGAACATCACTAATTATTAGGGAAATACAAACCAACACCACAATGAGATACCATCTCACACCCATTAGTATGGCTGCTATAAATAAACAAACAAACAAAAAAAAAACAGAAAATAGAGCCCACATGATCGCACACACCATAGTCCCAGCTACTCAGGAGGCTGGATGGGAGGATCCCTTGAGCCCAGGAGTTGCAGACCAGCCTAAGCAACATAGTGAGACCTTGTCTCTATTAAAGCAACAACAATAACAAAGAGAAAATAAGCAGTGCAGGTGAGCGTGTGGAGAAACTGCAACCCTTAGGTACTCCTAATGAAAATGTAAAATGATACAGCTGCTATGAAAGACTGTATGATGTTTCCTCAAAAATTACAAACTACCATATGTTCTAGCAATTCCACTGCTGGATATATATCAAAAAAAAAAAAGGGTACTTTCTTTAAAGGTCTCAAAGAGATATTTGTACGCTCATGTTCACGGCACCATTATTTACAAAAGCCGAGGGCAGAATCAACCCGTGTTCTCGATGGATGATAAACAAATCATGGTATATACATACCAAGAAATATTATTCAGCCTTAAAAAGCAGGGAAATTCTGATGCATGCTACAACATGAATGAGCCTTGCAGACATTATGCTAACTGAAATATGCCAGTCACAAAAAGAAAGACACTGTATGATTCCACTTATGTGGAGTACCTAGAGTAATCGCATTCACAGAAAAAGAAGGTAGAAAGGAAGTTGCTAGGGGCTGGGGAGAAGGGGCAATGGGAAGCTATTGTTTAATAGGTGTAGAGTTTCAGTTTTGCAAGATGAAGAACGGGAGACTGGTTGCACAACAATGTGAACACATTTAACAGTATTAAATTGTACAATTTAAAATGGTAAGATAGTAATTGTATGTGTATGTTACAATTTAAAAAAAAAATACAAAGGTAGAATGGGAGAAAATATTTGCAAATTACACGTGAAAAAAGACTTGTACTCAAAATATATTAAAAACTCTCAAAACTCAGTAAGAGGGTAGGGCACAGTGGCTCATGCTTGTAATCCCAGCACTTTCAGAAGCCAAGGCATAACAATCACTTTAGCCCAGGAGTTTCAGACCAGCCTGGGCAACACAGGGAGACCTGTCTCTAAAAAAATTTTTTAAAATTAGCCGTGTGTGGTGGCACGTGCTACTTGGGAGGCTGTGGTGGAAAGGTCACTGGGGTCTGGAAGGTCGAGGCTCCAGTGAGCTGAGATTGTGCCACTGCACAACAGCCTGGGCGACACAGTAAGACCCTGTCGCAAATAAATAAATAAACAAATTTCAATAAGAAAATAAACAATCTAATAAAAAATGTGTAATATTTGAACAGACACATCATCACAGATACATGAATGTCATATAAACATGTGAGAATATTCTCAACATCATTAATTATTAGAAAAATACAAATTAAACCACAAGGAGGTACCACTTTACACATATTGGAATATGTAAAATTAAATAGACTATCCACTCCAAGTTTTGACAAGAATATGGAACAGCTGGAACTCTCATGTACTATTAATGGATATATAAAATACAACAAATACTTTGGAAAATAGTTTGGCAGTTTCTTAAAAAGTTTAACATGGACCTACCACATGACCTAGCATTTCACATCTAGGTATTTGCTCAGGAAAAATGAAAACATATGCATAAAGATTTATATCTGAATGTTCATAACAGCTTTATTTGTCATCTTTATTTGTATAAAGATTTATATCTGAATGCTCATAACAGCTTTATTTGTAATAGCCAGCAAGTCGAAACAACCCAAATGTCTGTCAGGAATTGAACAGATAAACAAATTGTGGTATACAGCCACACAACAGAATGCCACTAAATAATAAGAAATAATATATGCAACATGAAACAATCTCAAAATAAACATACTGAGTCAAAAAAAAAAAAAAAAAAACCCAGACCAAAAAAAACCCTCATATTGTATATAAAATTCTAGAACCAACACCACTTACATAAAATTCTAGAAAATGCAAACTAATCTCCAGTGATGGAAAGCAGATGGTCCTTAAGGATAATGGAGGTAGGGGATAGAAGGGACAGACAGGGACCACAAAGGGGCACAAGGAAAATTTTGGGGAATGACAGCTATGCTCAACATCTTGACTGTAGTGATGGTTTCATGGATATACACATGTATCAAAACCTATAAAATTATAAAATTTAAATGTGTGTAATGCATTATATGTCACTTATACCTCAATAAATCTCTTTTAAAAACTGCTTTAGGATTGAACAATTTATTTTTCGAAGCACTGATACATATATGAGTATATAAATTAAAATTGTTCAAATGGTTAGGAAAAAAAAAATTCGACCACAGAATAATCTGCCTAAAAGGCATTTCTCTTTAGAACACAGAATTCTTAAGGTTCTTCCAGTTCAAAACCTCTACAATCTAATTGGCATGTAAGAGGTTAACAAAACTACAATTTGTCTTACAATCTCTAAAGAGACTGTGGAAAATGTAAATACATTAATCAATAAGGGTTTCATAACATCATTTCTTTAAAAGAATTACATAGAAGAGAAAAAATATTCAGAGAGATGCATAATACCTCATAATATGCATAATACCTCAGATAACTTGCTGGTGGACTGAAAAGCATCTGAACTGTGCTATTTGCTCCCATAAAAAGAAAGCTTACTAGCAATGATGTCAGATTTTCTTCAAAAGTTATCGGTTTAAAAGATGGAATAAATGATATTTATGGTTCAAGGATATAAGTATTAAATTTTCTTCCCAATGAATGTAAGCTTTAAAGCATAATTTCCAATTTTATGGTTCAAATTCAGTAAAAGTAGGAACTCTTATCTGCACTGTAACATCTAATTAAATACATAAAGAACAGAAAGATTTGAAATGAGAACCCACACCAAAAACATCATGTTCTCTGTCAGCGAAAGGTCGGAGAAAAGATCTGGAAAGCAGTGCGAAAATGTAGCCCATGCCTGTACTGACAACCTTTTATTTCTCCCTTCATCCTATCTAGTTACGAATTTCAGCAGACAGAAATACTGGGTGGGGCTTAGAAGACTGTGAAATGATTTCCTGTTGGAAAATGCCTTGCTGCCTAGCACAAAGCTATATCAATAACTCCCCAAAATGTTTGAACAGAAAAGAGCAAATGAAGGCATTTGGTCAGAAGATCAGGATTCAAATTCCAGCTTGACCAGACATTGAGCTATGTAACACTGATTAAGCCCCTTCATATTCATTTCCTCATCAGTAAAATGAAAAGTTAGGTGTGTGTACACACATACTAATTTTAATCAGTAGGTTAAGTATAAAAAGTAGAAAACTTGAAGAATGGGAGACAGTTCTGTATTCACACCAACTTAACCAATAATGCAATAGCTTTTTGTGAGCAGTCTCTGTCTCCCAGAAACTGTCAGATGCTTGAGACAGAGATTAATAAGTGGTTTGGTCTCCTCTTAAAAGTGAGCATTAAAAAAAAGAAAGAAAAAAAAAATTCCTGCCTTGATGAACAGACAATGCAGCTGATAAGACAACTAAGACAAACAGAACTATCAAATACAATGACTTTAGTACGATGAGAGAGGAAAGTTCAAGTATAATGGGAGCACACAGGAGTGGGAGCACACAGGAGGAAACACCACTAGCAAGATTACTAGTTCAAGTTAGAGAAATCCATCATGTATACGAAAAACCATGGGGATTTCATAGAGAATGCTCCACCAGGACAAGCAAAATGCAAGAGGTTGGATTTTAAGAGCTTAAACTAAGTTTCTTAATACTCTTAATAATTATAATCAGTTGCTACAGCTAATTAGACCTCAAAAAATAGTCTAAACCAATCTTCACAGAATCTTTACAAAAACAGAAACACACAAAAATCTCAGACTATCTTATTTGAAATGACTATAAATGGTATTTTCACATGATTCTAAAATAACAGAAATCCATTTTTTCTTCTAATACCATATTTCAATTTTATTTACTGATTTTGGTATTTGCTTTGGTAGAAAACACTGCTAATTTTGATCCCAATGCTTGACCTACTGTAATTTTTAAAATAACAACAAAAAAACCTTCACACAAGCCAAATGGAAAGTAGTGTTATAAGTACATAAAAATTAAATAGTAACAATTTAACCAAGGTCACTGGAACCTTTTCGGTTTGTTCTCCACTTAAAAGCAGAGCATTTAAAAAAAAGAAAAGGAAAAAAAAGAAAAGAAAAACTATGCATGTGTGCCTGTGTTTGGGATGGGACAGTTTCTTTTAGACTTCCTATTGAGGTACTTACAGTGCTGATCACAATCAACTCTGGCAAACACTACTTGATTTTCATTTGGAAATTCTTCCTTAATGACATCGGAAGCTTCCTCAAAAATTGGATGCAACATCTGACTGAAACGACACCTATACACAGAGAAGGATGCCAATTAGAAATGAAAAGCAGAATAAAATCTTATTTCAGTTATTGCCCGTTGACATTTGATACAGGCACAATGAACAACTCTGCGAGATAATCACACACTTAATTTAATCATGGACCCTGACGTTGTTCAATGGAGATGAAGACAATTTTGAATTCAAAGACTGTATAACAATTCTAAGAATGTATAAGATTTTGGTTTTATTCATCTTAAGATAATTGCCAGTATTATGGAGCACACAGCTAAGGATCTCTTGCAGAGGTCATAAAACAAGTCTGAAATAAGCCCCCTAAGAAGTACTACTAGGATTTGCAACTACTGAGGCTTGAACATTTATGAAAGAAATTAGCTTTCTCTATTTTATTTAATTTTTTTTGAGACAGGATCTCATTCTGTTGCCCAGGTTGGAGGGCAGGGGCACAATCTCAGCTCACTGCACCCTCCAACTCCAGGGCTCAAGCGATCCTCCCACCTCAAAATAATAAAATTTTAGACTACTGTGTAAAATATTTTAACTATATTGTAGATATTAGACTGCTCCACCTGGCTAGTTCTATCAAATCTCACAGGCAAGTTAGCATACCAAATAAATAAGTTATATTAAAAGAATATATGGTATATAATGAACTATTTCCCCTCAAAATTTACCCCTTGTTAAAATGGGCTTTTACATCTGTAAACATACTAAATACAGTAAGTCTAGAAGCAAGTATCTTAAATTCCTAACCAAGACTTCCTGTCTATATTTTCTTTTACTTTAAACACAAGGCACAAACCCCACAACAGTCTGTAAACTTGTTACTTCTAACTGTCCCTTAATCAAGTCAAACATTTCACAAATACAGTCATGTGGTGTTTAACAACAACAACAGGCATACACTCTAAGAAATACACCATTAGGTGATTTCTTCATTGTGCAAACATCATAAAGTATACTTACACAAACCTAGATGGTATAGCCTAGCATGCACCTACACTATATGGTATACAGCCTCCTATTGCTCCTAGGCTACAAACCTGTACCACATGTTAATATACTAACTACTGTAAGCAACTGTAACACAACAGCACTTGTGTATCTAAACGTATCTAAACATAGAAAAGGTACAGTAAAAATACGGTATTACACATGGGACTTCTGTCATTGACCTAAACATCATTATGTCATGGATGACTATGTTCTAGGTCATTAAAGGGACCCAATAAGAAGGGGAAGAATCAGAATTAGTAACCAGCTGAGTTAGAATGGTCTTTCTCTTACAGAAGAAGTATTAAGGATATGTAAACAAACTACAGTTGCTACTCTTGCTTCCGGAGCCCTTTTCCACCAAATAATTTACCTAAATGATGTCAGTGAACAGTTTAATCCACATGTAATTAGGTAATACATATTAGCTTTCATACAATAAAAATATTGGAAAGCCTGTGAAAGGATGCAAACAATATACTTCCTCCCTATTTCTTCTTGTGTATATATATATCTCTTCTAGCCCACTCACCTGACTTCCTAAGGAGATGTCCTAGAATATACCAAGGAGACACATCTGTATCTTCAATCTCTTGCTTTCAAGTGGCTCTTTCCTCTTTTAGCATTCTTAAATCTCTCCCATCAGGGATAAGTGGGTGGGGTCTGTGGACATCATGGACCGTGTCTTATTTGACTACGTAGTCTAATAAGCATTCAATATATGTGTATCAAATGAATAAATTGACAGAATGGAGCGGCTAGGACCCCAGGTTTGCAGGTTCTTACTGTCTGTAGAAAATAAGGTAGCTGGAGGACAGGGGAGGCAGGGAGTCCCATTAATCAGGGGCTGATTAATGGTTTCTTGAAAAATTTAGATCTGACCTAGTGAAGAAAGAGCGGGCAAGCCTCTTTATGGCTTAAGGGCAACGTAAAAAAACACATCAAGGGCTTCTTTTCTCTAGATTGTCCAGTTTGCCACCCAGTAAGTATTTAAGCATGGTTCATGTTTAAAATAGGACCTGTCTTAATACAGGTTGAATGTCCCTAATCCGAAAATTCAAAATGCTTCAAAATCTAAAACTGTTTGAGCACTGACAAGATGCTCAAAGGAAATGCTCATTAAAGCATTTTGTATTTCATATTTTTGGGGTTAGTGATGTTGAACCAGTAAGTATAATGCAAATATTCCCAAACCTGAAAAAATCCAAAATCTGAAACACTTCTGGTCCCAAGTATTTCAGATAAGGGATACTCAACCTGTACCAAAAGATGAAAAGGGAAAATGAAATAAAATGCTACGTTTATAAAAGGAACATCACAAAAGAAATGGATCTATTAAAAGGGCCTAACGGTCATCTAAACCTAATCTCCAATCTAGTACCTAAATCAATCCTTAACAAATCTACCAAATAGATAAGTCTTTGCAGAGACATTCTGAGGGCACTTACTAATATGATCTAGTTAGAGAAAGAAATAAGCTTTGCAGTCAGGCATACCTGAATTTAAATCCCAGTTCCACCACTTACTAGCCATATGACCTTTCTGAGCCTCAATTCCTCAACCTAAAAGGAAATTATAATACCTACCTGCAGAGTAGTTCTGAGCATTTAAAACAACCTATGTAAAGAGTCTGGATGGGAATGGTTAATGGGTACAAAAATATAGTTAGAATGAATAAGATCTAGTAGGATGACTACAGTAAACAGAAATGTATTGTACATTTTTAAATAAAAGAGTAAAACTGGAATGTTTGTAACATAAATGATGAATCCTTGAAGTGATGAATACTCCATTTACCCTGATGTGTGTTTTTTTTGTTTTTGTTTTGAGACAGAGTCTCACTCTGTCACTCAGGCTGGAGTGCAACAGCGTGATCTCGGCTCACTGCAACCTCCGCCTCCTGGGTTCAAGCAATTCTCCTGTCTCAGCCTCCCAAGTAGCTGGGATTACAGGTGCCCGTCACATCCGGCTTTTTGTATTTTTAGTAAAGACGGGGTTTCACCATGTTCGTCAGGCTAGTCTTGAACTCCTGACCTCAGGTGATCCGCCTGCCTTGGCCTTCCAAAGTGCTGTGATTACAGGTGTGAGCCACCGTGTCCGGCCATGTGATTATCATACTTTGTTCACCTCTATCAAAATATCTCATGTACCCCATAAATATATATACCTACTATGTACCCATAAATATTAGGTAATCTGTTTTAAATAGTCTGGCACAAAACAGCATTATTAACCACCTACTACAGTATTACTCGAGGAGCTGCAGTATTTTTAAGCACCTCTATTACAGAATTATTAAACTGTGCCACATCCATAACTTCCAGAAGGAACTCAGAGTCTAGACTTTGAGGCCACATAGTATTAAGTCTATGTCCTACAGCCAATTACCTAAGCTTTTTCAGCTGTATAAAAGAGTATTAATTCATTAACAACTTAAGGTATTCTTGAGGTAATGTTTTCCCAAATAACTTAGTCCACGTTTCCAATTCATTTTTTTTTTTTTCCAAAAGATCCCAGCAGCATGTTCTATTACTCTTTCTTGCAACATACAAAATCTCTCAGTCAGGAGAAAGTCGCTCTAGTTTTTCTTCAGACATCATCTAGTTGGGTAACCTTGGGAAAGTACTTCACTCCCCTGGATTTCAGTTTTCTTATTTTAAAATGGATTGGACTACATAATCTTCTGCCAAATTTTGTGGCTATTAATACATCTTGACAACCCTAATTTACCTTGAAAAATGCTACCTTTGTTACATATTTTATAAATAGCACTTTCTCTGTGTATCTGCAACTTTTTTAAACTGAAGTTTTTTAAATAATCATACCATATATACATTCATTTAGCAGACATTATGTACTTATCAGCCACATATTAAGCAAAGTGCTTGGGGATTAAAGTTGAAAATAAAACTATGGTATGTATTTTCACAGAGCAAACAATGTGGCAGGGAGTCACCAACTGGATTACAGCCTACAAGTGTTATGACTGGGTAAGTATGGGTGTTACGGGAAATAACAGAAGGGCTCCTAATCAGAGTCAAGAGTAGGGGAAGGTGTATTGATCCAGGAGGATAACCTGGAGAAAGTGGCAACTAATCTAAGACTTGAAAGATTAGAAGTTAACTAAGTAAAGAAATGGGTGACAGAAGAATGATCCATCCAGGCAGGGGAAATATCATGCCTAACAGTCCAGTGATGAAATACAGAATTTTACAGGAATTGAAAGCAGCTTAGTTTAACTGGAGCAGAATGTGGAAGTGGAGAGAGGCCAGACATAACAGCTACAGAGGGAATAAGAGACCAGTTCATAAGGGGCCTTCTGTAAAGGATTTAAATTTTAACCCAAAGGTAATGGAAACATTTTAAGGGTTTTAAGAAGGGGTATAAACTAATCTTATTTACACTGTAAGAAAGAGAACTCTGGCTTACATTGTAGAGAACATAATGGAGATACGTAAGCCTAGAGCACAGAAAAGAAATGAGGAGACTGTAGCATGAATGCTAAGTAAATGACAGGACTGTGACCTGGAGTATGGTAGTCATAGCTAGTAGGTAGTAAGCCTTAAAGGGTCAGGTAAGATACAGAGTGTCTAGTGATAAAGATTATGCCAGTGTTTCAGACTCTTTCCAGCTAAATCTCCCTTGTGTTTCAGAATCTTTCTAGCTAAATCTCCCTTCTTCCTGTCTCCATGCCATATTCTGTAATATCTACTATACAACATGTTGTTCTAGATGCTGGGAATACTGAGTATGCCATTATCTCTGCCCTCAAAGTTTGTTTGCTAGGGCACAAACAAATAAGAAAAGACAAAACATTTAGTAAGAAAAAGAAAGTGGTACATAGAGTACTATATAAACACAAAAGACAGGCTCTGATTCAGTCAGGGGAAGGAGTAAAGGTATCCTAGAAGAGGCAGCAGATTGTATAAATTTTAAAATGTCAACATTATTTTTCCTTCTAAACTTGCCATACCCAAATCATGACTTACAAACACTACCCTCCTTCCACAGTCAGGACAAATACAGAATTGCAATATGTGTTCCCTTTGAGTGGGGGGTGAAGAGAGTCATATTTAAGTTATGTGTTACCTGTTTTAAGATATGTGATAATAGAATCAGCTCTATTTCTTTCTTAAAACAGAAATCCTTACCAAATTAAACTACTTCCTTTGTGGATGAAACTTAATTGACTTTATGTATGGAATACTGTCTTTAAATAGTAAAAGCCTTCCCTTCCCCTTTCTAGCAAAGAAAAATTAACCTTTAGCAAGTAAAAACAAACCCAAACCCAAACAATAAGATTACTTACCAGTCAGCATAAAAATTTACTAAAGCAACATCAGCATTGTCTGAAATTGAAAGACAAAACCAAATAAACTAAGTTATTTGTAATAATTTTTACATAATTAAAGATACAGTTTCATTATGATCTTTGTCCAATATAAGGGTCCACTTAAAAAAACACAGTAACTATTATCTCTCACTCAGAAACCTAGAGTCATGGACAGCTTATAGAATTTATGGGAAACTTTGTCTCTTTTCTCTGTATGCTTTATAAGTTCACTGCATCTTTTATTTTAAGGAGACTGGGTCTCACTCTATTGCCCAGGCTGGAGTGCAGTGGCATGATCAAAATCCAGTGCAGCCTCAAACTCCTGGGTTGACGTGATCCTCCCACCTCACCTTCGCAAGTAGCTAGGACTACAGGCAAAACAGCCACCAACACCTGGGCTAAAACTTTTTTTTTTTTTTTGAGACGAGTCTCGGCTCTGTCCCCCCGGCTGGAATGCAGTGGCGCGATCTTGGCTCACGTTGCAAGCCTCCGCCTCCCAGCGTTCACGGCCCTATTCTCCTGCCTGCAGCCTCCCCAGTAGCTGGGACTACAGGCGGCGCCCGCCACCACTGGCCCCAGGACTAATTTTTTTGTATTTTTTAGTAGAGATGGGTTTCCCATCCGTGGTCTCAATGCTCCTGACCTGTGTGATCCCCCGCCACAGGGCCTCTCCGAAGTGCGGATTACAGGCGTGAGCCACCGCGCCTGGCCTTTTTTTTTTTTTTTTTTTTTTGAGGACAGCTCACCCTCTGTTGCCCAGGTTTGGAGTGCAGTGGCGTGGATCTCGGCTCACTGCAAGCTCTGCCTCCCGGTTCACACCATTCTCCTGCCTCAGCCTCCCGAGTAGCTGGGACTACAAGCGCCTGCCCACCAGCGCCTGGCTGATTTTTTTTGTATTTTAGTAGAGACGGGGTTTCACCATGTTAGCCAGGATGGTCTCGATCTCCTGACCTGTGATCCGCACCTCAGGCCTCACCTGGCTAATTTTCGAATTTTTTTGTAGAGACAGGATCTGGTTATATTGCCCAGGCTGGTCTTGAACTCCCGGCCTCAAGCAACCTCCCACCTTATCCTTCCAAAGTGCTGGGATTACAGGCATAAGCCATCACACCGGGCTCCATTCATTGCATCTTAAATGAATTTAAAGCAAATGGGAAATTAAGCCCAGATAAGGCAAGTAAGCTACTATCATAAAAAGTAAAGTGGAATGATCTGTATTTCATTTTTTGATCTTCCATATTCACAACTGAGAATTAGTTCTGCAAACAAAATCCCACATCACACAAAAGACCTGTATAACTAAGTTATTTCTAAACCTCACATATCCCACCTAGTTGCAACAAGTAATCTACAACTAACAGTGTTGCACAAGACGCCAAGTTTTTGGTTCCTATCCATTTAACAGTTATTCCCTCCTACAAAAATAACAGCATCATTTGCATATCAGGATGTAAAGACATGAGAAAGATGTAGCGCTTTTTGCCTAACCCTAATTCAGAGAAACTTAAACTCCTCAAGCACTCATGAAAAAAACAAAGATATTCTAGAATTTGAAAGATGACAGAAGTGAGAATGATATGTGAGTTTCAATTCCTTTCTTTCCTTTTTACCATCAAGTTACTTTTTATATACTTGCTTATTTGCTCTAAAGCAATGATTCACAAACTGTGGTTCCTGGACCAGAAACACCAACATCACCTGGGAACTCACAGACATGCAAATCCTTAGGTAGGGGTCTAGCAGTTTCCTAGCAGTATAGATATTAAAAAGTGTTCCAGGTGATTCTGATACGTGCTAAAGTTTATGGAACCACTCCTCTAAAGAGACTCCATAAGACAGGAATAGACTTTTAGCATTTAAAGTTCCAGGAACATAATATATTACACTCAATGAATGTTGTAACTCCTTTTGCCTCTATTACATGCGTAAGATGGATGGTTAAAAAAAGAAATTATTTATGCACACTGTACATTTTCTTAAAGCTCCTAAGTTATTATTTTCTATCAACCACATCTTCAGCTTTCCTTTACTATTTTTAAAAAACAAGAAATGGTTTCTCAAGTTAATTATATCCATAACCACATTGTCAGCAAACAAACCATTCAGCAAAAAACTTATCAGGCCAAGTGTGGTGGCTCATGCCTGTAATCCCAGCACTTTGGGAGGTCAAGATGAGAGGACTGCTTGAGGCCAGGAGTTCGAGACCAGCCTGGGCAACATAGCGAGACCATGTCTCTGCAAGAAAAATTTAAAATTAGCTAGGTGCAGTGGAGCACACCTGTAGTCCTAGCTAACTTGGAAGGTTGAGGAAAGAGGATTGCTTGAGCCCAGGAGGTCAAGGCTGAAGAGAGCTATAATATTATCATGTTACTGCACTCCAGTCTGGGTGACAAAGCAAGACCCTTTCTCTAAAACAAAAAATAAAAATAGTACTGAACTTAACTGGACCAATAACAATAAAAGAGATCAGAGTAGGCGATCTAATTAAAGGGAAGAAAAAAAAGTCTAGACTGTGTCCCAAGGTCATTAACATTTAGTACTGTACAGCGAGAACTATTGGTCTCTAAGTAGGATTATCAAAACATTTCATGAATTGTTAAGAATGGTATCTACATCAAGTCAAAGAAATAAAAAAGACGAAAAGTAACCAAAAGTGCTTTGATAATTCAGAAAATTATGGAATTAATCAGAATGCCAGCTCTTGATCTGTGCTAGCTGCGATTTTATTGTGTGTTTTTTTTTAGAGAGAGAGTTGTAAACTAACTCTCTATAGAGAAGAGTACACTTAAAAAATATTGAGGTACTTACTTAAAATTTCATCTATATTCTCTGTATCAAGACTTGTTATTTCAGTTGTTACAGGAGTAAAAACCCAAGTTACCTGAAAATTTAAAAAATGAGAAATTAATAAATGTGTCCACAAAAGGCAAATACGTAAAAGCGGAAAGTCTAAAAATAAATAAAGTTGATTCCACTTGTTCCTTAGAAAATTATATATCAACTGAATTGAATCTTTATTATCTAGTCTAATCTTTCACTAGATAAATGAAATAGGAGAAATACTAGCTTCTCAAACCTAGAAATTGATCAAATAAAACTTTCTATACTTGCAAATATACAAAATAGCTTCTAAGGAATTAGAAAAACTGAGAATATATATATCTTTTCAAATTAATACTTTCAAGAACTTTAGCGCCACAAGAAAAAATGTGTGAGATTATCAGTGTTTCAAGTATAAATATAAAAACCAACGCTAAGTCTGCTGATTCTATCCTGCCGTGTTTCTAAGACAGAAGAAAATAATGAAGAATGCAAGAAAGACTTTTGCAAGTTGTAAAGCAAAAGCCCTTCCTGTATAATTTTCACTTATTGGTGATAACAATGTGTTACATGAGAGGCTATTAAAAAGAAAATAAGAATGTTTTTGCACTTTAATGAACCTGAAATCCAAAATTCAAGTTTATCAAAGAAAATCTTAGCCATCTGCAAAACAAAGAAAATATAAAATTTTAAACTAAACTAGCGTTTTTAAAATTTAAAATTTTAAATTTTAAACTAAACGTTTACTTATTTTAAACAGTAAAATTTAGTGTATTTTATTTTTAGTTTCCAACTTCAATCACTTGGTGTTTGCTGCCTGGAGAGTTTTTTGTTTGAAATAGAGTTTGTGTATGGAAATTGACTTACTAAATCACTGCTTTTTACTGAATGACAACTAACGTCAGGCTCTCATCAAAGTGCTGAAGACTATTCCTTTGCCCACCCATTTCCTGAATACTTCAGCACTTACAACAGACTTAAAACTTTTATAATTCACCAACAATTCAGTCTAAATGCTATAAAGAGATACAATGATGCTAGTATATAAATAAGCCCAGCTAAATTTTAAAAATATTTCTGGGCTCGGTGCGGTGGCTCATGCCTGTAATCCTAGAACTTTGTGAGGCCAAGGCGGGCAGATCATGAGGTCAAGAGATTGAGACTCTCCATCCTGACCAATATGGTGAAATCATATATATGTATATTATATATAAATTATTATATAATATATAATTATATATAATAAATATATAAATTATAACTATATATTATATATATATTTCTATAGACTTATTCTTTTCTTAGGAAAGGCCTAAGGATAACACTAAGTCTTATTTTTAAATTACTGTAATGGTGTAGCCAATAACTATCATGTCTGTTAGCAACCAATAAATTATACTCTCCTAAAAGTAGGCTAAATAATTGCAAATCTCTAAATATTTGACTTATAAAACTAATTTCATTATTTTCAGTGCCTCAAACATTAACTGTAAAGATCAGACTTCCCTCACTAGTCATTAGTTACTACTGATGGGGTTTAGGACACATTACTCCAAAATACGGCACATTGGCATTTGAGGAAACAGAAGCAAAAAGGTCTCCCTGACCTTCTCCTGCCCTTCTCCCCTAAACAGGTCATAAAATAATTCTCTGACATTTCTCTAAAGTAGGTCTTAAGACTCCCCCTAAGAGACATATCCTCTAGACCCTGAGAAAAGGAATATCCCAATCTCTGAGGACACAGAGATGCCAAGAAGAATCTGAACTAACAGTTCCCTCAGTTTATTACTATTAGATCATAACCGCTTTGTCCAGTCGTATGTCTGTACAACTGTCCACTCTTCATCAACCTATGAATTTTTAAAGTTTTTCCCACTTCTTTGGGTTGTAATTTCTGAAGGCTCCCATGTCATGTAAAACTTATATTAAATAAATTTGTATGCTTTTCTCTTGTTAGTCTACCTTTTATTATAGGAGTCTCAGATATGACCTAGAGATGGGTAAGAAATCTTTTCTACTCTACATTATCAATGTCTTCATAACAGATCCTGCCTTCATAAGTATCTAACCAGTTTTACATAACTGTGGATCCCAATAATATTGGTAACAGCAAGATTTTACACTTGTGTGCTAAAGAAAAACTCAAGAAGGCAGAAAAATATTATCATAGAACAATGAAGTTGGCATTATCAAAGTCAAGTCATTAAATAATTCAATAATATTTACAGTGTCTACTAGGTACTGAGGGCACAAATGCATAGAGCATGGTGTGTGCTGCCTCAAATCTGGGTAAGTGGGATATCCATTGCTCAAACATCTATCATTTCTTTGTGTTGGGCTCCAAATCAACTCTTTTGGTTATTCTGAAATATTTTTGAAGAGTTAATTATCATCTATCAAAATATGTAGAGAGAATGAATATATGTTTAAAATCTAAAGTTAATAGTTTTTTACTAGCTGGGCACAGTGGCTCATGCCTATAATCCCAGCACTTCGGGAGGCCAAGGCAGGAGGACCCCTTGAGGCCAGAAGTTCAAGACCAGCCTAGGCAACATAGCAAGACCTTGTCTCTACAAAAACATTTAAAAAATTAGCCAGGCATGGTGGCACATGCCTGCATTCCTAGCTACTGGGGAGGCTAAGGCCACTGGATCACTTGAACCCAGAAGTTCGAGTTTGCAGTGAGCTATGATTGTGCCACTGCACTCCAGCCTAGATGACAGAACAGACCCTGTCTCACAAAAAAAAAAAAAAGAGAGAAAGACAGGAAAATAGCATTTTATCTTGAAACACTTACATGGGAAAAACATTTACATGCTAAGTAATGGCAAAAATGAGGCAATGATCAATTTGGCTGTATTAAATAGATAACTGTTACTTTAAACACACTGTGCTAATAAATATGCAAGTGGTAAGATTGGTATTTTGCTAACAGTTGTGTTTGTTAAGAGGGCCCAAAGCAAGAAAACTCTCTGACCCACTAATTTCTGCTCCCTGTAGGGTGTAAAGGAGGCATTTTCCTGTTAGCTTATCATTAACATTTCTATTAATATGCAGTATGAAGGGAAAAACGTGTTGTTTATTTGAACTGTTAGTAAGCTCCACTAGTCTGACAAATTGTTTCTTTTCATGTCAGCCCTGGGCAGCAACAAGATTCTCCCAGGAAAACATCTTCATGTGTCAAATGCTATAGTGCTTAAGTAAAATAAAGTATAACTCCAGACCATAAAGCTTTTGATAGGGATCATTAATATTTTTTCAATTTAGACTTGAATAAAACTTCTAAATTTATGTTAAAAACAAAAACATATGGAAATTTTCATAGATCTCAATAGTTATGAAGAATATAGTCTCTAATGATGAAATATTTAGACAACATATACAAATATACAGATATGAACTTAGGAAGTATTTTACAACTTGGTCATTCTTTCCAGTTTATTAGTTCATTTTCTTGCCAAGAAAGCAGAGCAGAGTGGCATCTTTAATCATCTCCCATAATTCATTAGATAAGTCCTCCATGCATTTACTATATCAACTATTACATTTCAGCCTAGTGACGGGATCTTATATAAAAAGGCATACGAGTAAAATGGCAAATACCATACCCAAATGCACTTAAAAGACTAATAAAACTGAAAGGCTAGCTTTCAATAACAGGAGCTTCTTCAGCAAGGAAAGAATATTTTCTTCCGTTAGATGGTTATTAAAAATTTGGATCCCTCCTCGCTCTGAAAACTGAGAGCACTTTCTATAGGGTGTAATTATTCTGTCTTAAAGAAACACATTAATTCCATCCTTAAATCAGTTATTTGTGCTGGTGTCTTACTTCCTCCAACAGACTGGGAGTACCTTGAAAGTAGAGACCACTTTATTCAATTTTGTATCCCACAGATCACTGTACCCTGTTTGTACACAAGAAACATTCAAATATGAACTAAATGAATGACTAGATGGATGAATAGGTAGATGATGTTAACACACTAAGAATTTAGAGAGACAATATTGGATATGAGAAGTAGGAGGAAAAGGTCCCGAAATGGAAATTGAGAACAAACATTTTAATATGTTTGAGGAAAATGAGGTTATCAAATAAAAATAAAGTCTATACTATAATTTGGTTTTAATTATATAATAGCAAAAAGCACACCACTTGGTGATGAGTCACAGACTTAGAAGGAATCTCACAAAGGATCTTCCCACCTATTGCAGAAACCCCTCTTCATCACTACTTAACAGTTGCCATAAACCCCTAGTAATTTCTTCTGATTCCCCCAGCTGTTCTTTGGTATGATTTCCAGACACTTCAGCACATACCGTCACACTGCATAACAATGTTTTGGTTAATGAGAGGCTACATATATGACAGTGGTCCCATAAGATTATAATGAAGCTGAAAAATTCCTGGAGCCTCTTGACGTCTTGATAATCCTGACCCTGTGTAGGTCTAGGCTAATGTGTGTGTTTTTGTCTTGGTTTTCAATAAAAAAAGCTAAAAAGAAAAAAATATTTTAATAAAAAAAGCAAACAGAATGAGGTTATAAAGAAAGATGCTTTTGTACAGCTATGTAATGTGCTGGTATTTTAACCTCCATATTATTATAAAAGAGTCAGAAGTTAAAAATTAAAACATATAGTTAAAAAGTTACAGTAAGCTAAAGTTAATTTAGTATTAAAGAAAAAAGATATTTTAAAATAAGTTTAGTATTACCTAAGTTTATAAAGGCTACAGTAATGTACAGTAATAACCTAAGCCTTCTCATTCACTCATCACTCACTGACTCACCCACAGCAACTTCCAGTCCTGCAAGTTTCATTCATGTTAAGTGCCCCATACATGTATATAACTTTTTTATCTTTTATACTATATTTTTACTGTGTCTTTTCTACATTTAGATACACAAATACCATTGTATTACAATTGTCTACAATATTTAGTAACATACTATACAAGTAGCCTAAGAGTAATAGGCTATTCCATATAGCCCAGATGTGTAGTAGGCCATACCATCTAGGTTTGTGTAAGTATATTCTATAACATTTGCACAATGACGAAATTAC